GGGTGTCTACCAAGTTTGTGCAAATAAAAGCCCTTGGGTTAAATTGGCCCTGCAACGTTGGGGGGGGTGGGGGTTGGGGGGCCTATATACAGGTGAGCGACCTCCGGGCCATCATGGCCCTCTTGTTTATTTATAATTATGCATCAATAGTTTATTTAGTTTAGAAGTTTTCATTAAAATTATGGTAAATTATCAACTGCATAACACATATTTGATAAGGCAATTTCTTTAATTGTTTTAAATTGATTAGTATGAAAAACATTTTTATTATGAAAAACATTTTTATTAGCCAATAATTGTTTCATTGATTGTATAAGTTGATAATTTTAATTGATAATCATATATACTATCCATTGTTACAATTTCTATCGATGAAAGAATGATAATTTGATCAAACCAAGATCACTGCACTACTTGATTGATTGTTATGAATGCTTTAACAAAGCAATTTTATTGTGATTTAAATGTTACTAATTGAATGTGCTTTTCTGCTGAAATATTTTCTACTTTATACATTAAGATATTTACTACACAGCATAATGCAGTATGTCACTCTCATACCCACTTTATAAACCGAAAATTCCTGCGAGGGGGATTTTGTCCTAGGTAGCAATTTTATGAAGGGAATTTTGTCCACTTCAAAATTTTACACATGAAGGGGATTATGTCCACCCATGAAGGGGATTATGTCCGGATATACAAAAATACATGAAGGGGATTTTGTCCGAAGGGGTTTATGTCGGTACACCGAAAAAAACATCAACAAACAGGCAGCCATTAAGGAAGAGAGAGGATTTTATTTCAGAGCGTACAAATTCGATAATTTAAATATACTAGCAAGTTTAAACTGTAAGTATTGATTTTTTATGCTTTATTTATATTGTATGTAAGTATTTATTTAATGATCTGCTTGATTTCCCATTGGCAGTTCGTGCATGCATATGTTAGCTTATAATAATTTAGAATGACCAGGTGACCTAATTTACAAGCTGGCTTGGAGAACAAAGGCCGTTTTGGCGGGAAAAAATGCTATTGTTATTGTTATTGTTTGTATATATCTGTGCTTATGTTTCATTATGTTGTCTGCTCTGAAGGTTGTATATTTTTCATAAAGTGATTTAAAGTAGTAAATAGTTTGTGCATTAAACTTACGTAGCACCAAGGACTTTAATTGACAATTTGTATCATAGTTTGGAGACCTTTCTGTTGAAAATGTGTCAGGGTTAAATCATATACATATACATGCACAGTGTGTTAACTGGAGTGCGGGTATTAGTTACCAGCACTCGAGCATGCCCATTGATTGGCTCATTTTTGCTGGGGTTTACATATTGTGACGGCAGAGAAAGGGAAAGCGACAGAAATGTCATATTCAGATGTTCGTTCATTGGTTCATTTTTGCCGGGGTTTCATATTGTGACAACAGGGAACGTGCTTTTATGTTTGACTATGATACAAAAGAGAAAGAACACCAAAACACTCGGCAATCTGATTAATACTCGGGGGCTACGCCCCCTCATACAAATCAGATAGCCTCGTGTTTCGGTGCTCTTTCTATTACATAGAATAAATGGGTGAGAGTTGTTTCATCGGACTACCGGTTCGGCGAACTAATTTTATATTATAAAACAGGTTGTGGTTTCGGCGAACTTAATCTACATGTATATAGTGCAAAAAAGATCTATTGTATCAGGGCTCTAGCTAGACCAAAATTTTAGGGAGAAGTGACTTCTCCCTCAGCTCCTATCAGGGAGAAGTTTGACGATATAAGGAGAAGTGAAAAAGTGCTTAGCACATAGATTTGATCTATAAAAAGGAGTTTTACCTATTTATTGATAGTGATATTTGAAGTATATTCTAAAACCCTCTATCATCAGATTATAATAATTTCTTCCTGATTAACTCCACACAACCCCCTCCCTTAAGAAAATATTCATTGTACAACACATACTGGCAAAATTCTCAATCAAAATTAATGTAAACAATACCTTAAGGAATTTTCATTAATAAACTACATTTTATGTGCTATTGGACACATTTTAACACAACAAATTTTCCTTTTGGTAACTTTATATTTTCGGCAATCTCCTGGATTAGACCCCTTAGTATTTTTCAGGTCTTAAACTTGTTTATAATACACTTAAGTAAACAGAATGAACCTTATATATACTCCTGGTTTAGACCCCAGGGTCTAATCCAGGGATATAGCCATTTTTTCATCGTAAAAATCGGCATCGTGAAAATATGTGACAAATGAAAATTTGTCTGTTTCCTGCAGAAACACTTACAATTCTAGTTGTTGTTGATTTTGATCATATTAAATTAAATATCCAATGATTATTTTTAGATTGTTATTCATCCGCTATTGCAACAGGCATTGTAAAACATTTTCAAATTTGTAGTTTACCGCATAATTTACCGACGTTTATGTAACTTTTTGAAGACAAAGTTTACTGCACAGGCGCTAGTCACATAATGAAATATTTTACATAACCGGTCTATATATGTATATAAAGATCTTATTATAGTATATAGCCCATATAAAACTTTAAAAAGTTTGTTTCAAGCACCTGTGGTTTACTGCTGTTTTTGACTTGTCCAAAATTAATCTAATGTGGGTCAATATTTTTTAAGTTCTTTAACAAATTTCATTTTTACTATCAAACAGGTATCAAACCATTTACTTGTGCTTCTGTGTGTATTAATTTATATGCAAGTAAATTTACACGGTCTGTGTGAGGTTGCGTGTAATTACTGCCAAATATGGTAAGAGCAATTCCGGGTGTAATCTTTTCACACTCGCTGATAAAATAGTGGCAGGTGTCATAAAATTATGCTTAAAAAATGTGATGTTTACATCGGCGAATTAAATGGCTATAATGTCCGATGCATCTGCATATCATGTCACTTAAATGTGTTAATTGATGTTAATTATCGGCAGTAACTGTGCGTCACTAATTTAGTTTGATTTATGCCTGGAGGCAAGGATTAACTTAATTAACATGCGCTGTATGATATTGATATATTCATGTGGTCAGTAAAGAAAGCCGGCGTAGTCATTTTCGCTTTGATGTTCAAACTCGGCGAAGTTCTGAAACTTTAGGCGACTAAGTCGCCCAAATCGCCCAGTTGCTAGAGCCCTGTGTATAATGGGCACGTCAATTATCGTGGGTCTAAGTCTGTTGTTTCTCACACATTTTCATGCAATTAAAGACAAGATATTGAAAATATAAACCTTATAATTATTATTTTCTTTAGTATAATAGTTATATTTTACATATAAAGCTTAACTCAACACAAAAGATCTCAGTAAACAAACAACATCATAAAAATATATACATGTACCTATAAAAGTGAAGCCTGAAAAAAGAAAAATGATTTAAAATTTACACAAATATAGATAAAGTGAAGTCTGTAAAACATAAAATCTATGTTAAACTGTATCCATAAATGGTAAAAGCTTAAAAAGAAGGACAAATGTTATCAATCGGAATAAAATCAACATTATACACAGAAAAATAAAACCTGGAAGAGAAAGAATTAACTATGTATTTTATAATCTAAATATATATACACAAAAACAAGGCATACAAAAAAACATGTAAAAATATTATTCTAAAAATCCAAAATAAGAATATTTGTGTCATGATTTTGTATGTAATATTTAAAATACTTTATTCATCTCTATATAAACAATTGATACAGGCATGTAATAGAAAGAGCACCGAAACACGAGGTTATCTGATTTGTACGAGGGGGCGTAGCCCCCGAGTATTAATCAGATTACCAAGTGTTTTGGTGTTCTTTCTCTTTTGTATCATAGTCAAACATAAAAACACGTTCCCTGTTGTCACAATACGAAACCCCGGCAAAAATGAACCAATGAACGAACATCTGAATATGATATTTCTGTCGCTTTCCCTTTCTCTGCCGTCACAATATGTAAACCCCAGCAAAAATGAGCCAATCAATGGGCATGCTCTGGAGTGCGGGTAACTAATACCCGCACTCCAGTTAACGCACTGTGCATGTATATGTATACGATTTAACCCTGACACATTTTTAACAGAAAGGTCTCCAAACTATGATACAAAGTATTAAAGAGAATCTACTATGTTTTTTTTTTACATAATAAACAACAACAATCTTTTTTCATTCTTTATTCATCACTCGATATAAAACTTAAAAACCGTCCTCATAAATCCTGTCGTTAAAGTTATTGGATTTTTCTTCTGAAATGTGGCTGCATAATCTCAGTAGTTGAGAAGTAGTCCTCACAGCAACAAGGCGTCGAATAAGGCTCTAATGTATTTTTAGTCCCCTACCGGTTTACCGGAGGGGACTTTAGGTTTACCCTCCGTCCGTCTGTCTGTCCGTCCGTCCCTCCGTCTGTCCGTCCGCACTCACAGGAGAGTAATTATGTGGCTAAAGGGACAATAGGTAACTGTTCTTTTTCTTTGATGTCATTCATTCCATAATGCTTTTATGTGGCTATTTTCTTTTGTGTGGCTAAAAAGAACAATAGAGAGAACAATAGAGTAGCCACATAATTACTGTCCTGTGAGAACGTCCGTCAGTCCGTCCGTCCACAAAACTGGATCCCGCGATAACGCAAAAAGTACTGAAAATATTTTAATGAAACTTGATATATGGATAGATGGCAGTATGGAGATTATGCACGTCTTTTTTTTTTCTTCCTATGTTGAAAATTCTGGTTGCTATGGCAACAAATAGACTGAAAATATGACAAATTTTACACATAAACTGGATCCCGCGATAACGAAAAAAGTGCTGAAAATATTTTTATGAAACTTGATATATGGATAGATGGCAGTATGGAGATTATGCACGTCTTTTTCTTTTCTTCCTATGTTGAAAATTCTGGTTGCTATGGCAACAAATAGACTGAAAATATGGCAAATTTTACACATAATCTGGATCCAGTGATAACACAAAAAGTACTGAAAATATGTTTATGAAACTTGACATATAGGTAGATGGCAGTATGGAAATTATGCACATCCTTTTTCTTATCTTCCTATGTTGAAAATTCTGGTTGCTATGGCAACAAATAGACTGAATTTCAAGATTTCTTATTCTAGTTTTTAAGTTTTTTCACTATAAGTTCTTTATTTCTTAAGGTATTTTCTTCAAACTTTAAATATAAGTTGCTTGTCATCAACCATATCATATTGTGGCAAGGTTTACAACTCTAGTACAAAATTTATCAGAATTACCTCCCTTGAACTTAAAATTTTCATGAAAAAAACATTGTTTTTTTTTAATAACTTCTTTTTCTGAAGTATCTACTTCAAACTTCATATAAATGTTTCTTATTGTCACTCAACATTTGTGAGTGTTCAATACTCTAGCAAGACTATTTCCAGAATTATGCCCCTTTTGAACTTAGACTTTTTTTGAGAAATTGGTAATTTTTACTCCAACTTCTTCAATCATGATAGGATTTTAAAAATGTTATATTTTTGATAACAGGGATGTTTAAAAAAATAACTTTAGAGTGTCCTTCAGTCCGTCTGTCTGTACATAAAAACTGTTTCCTGTGATCACTTTTAAAGAACTTTTTCAACAAATTTACTTAAAATAGGAACCTAAGTGAATGGCCCTTCAGAATGTTGCTTGGGCTCTTACCGGTAGGGGACTTATGGATTGCTTGCAATACTATGATAATTGCTTGTTTGAAAATATTTTTTTCCTCAAAAACTTAATCAAATAACGAACAAATCATTATCAAAATAGGTACATTTGTGTATAATAAATAGACATACTTCTACAATGTATTCTATTAATTAATGAAATTTTGTGTCATAATTTGATTACAACAAACATTTTGATGATAAAACCACTTTATATACATGGACCATGCCTACTATGCCTTTAATAAATTAATTATAAAATAAGATAGACGAAACCACTTTCGCACCTCTTCATAAATTAAGTCCGCCGAACCGGTAGTTTGACTAAACCACCATAATTCATATAAATCCGTGGTAGCACTTTCTCTCGGGCCTAATTTTTGTTGGAACGGTGGTTTTTTGTCGATTTAGTAATTTTCTCTACTCGAACTAGTCTATAAAGTACTGGCATGTATGACGGTCATGGTAAGGTGCCTAAATGTTGACATGGTCATTGTAAATATTCCAGGTCTTTTCGCCTGTGATTTTCTTTCTTGTATGACAAATTCCAATAAATGGTCTCTTTCAAAAGGAAATAAACATTTAGATTGTGCAGTTTCCTAAAAAATTCTAATCTTAAATTGCTAATCAAATTAGAAATTTTGGCTCTAACTTTTCCGTCAAAGCCAAGAGGCTAACTTGGTGTTCTTAAAGTGAGAGAAATCGCTGCTGACATGGACGTTTAGCCTTTGTGTGTTTTTTTTGCGGTAAAGGGTCTACTCGGGCTTACATTAACTCGGTCCAGGTCAACTCGGCCTTCTATTAGAAACCTATTTTAATATGGATTGTTAACATTGTTTTGAAAAAATTTTAGGAGTGAATTACTATAGAAGTATTCAAAGGTATGATGGCATGACCAACAGAAATTGAAAAAGTTGGCAGTAAACATGTACGTGTTGTTTGAAATAATCTTTGTTTCGATGCACAGTACAAAATTATTCCTTTCACAATGCAGGGTTTTATTTACGGAAAGGGGAAGGCGCTGGTAGGGAGGGAAAAAATATGCAAAAAAGTCGATTGGGGGAAAATTATGAGGTTATTAATTCTATACTATATCTTTTTTTCCCTTAAAAACTTTATCATCATGCAAAATATTCTTTGCGGTGTAACATCTTATTATGTATGGTGGTGAATGGTTTTTATACTTCCATTATTGTATGAAATTTAATGCGGCATACTATAGGTGTAATAGTGTATCTGTGACACACTTTGGCTCCATACAAGTCATTTTCATAATAAGGAATACAAAATATATTACTTTCCTAAAAATAACCAAGAAAATGGCAATATTTTGATAGCAACTGATTTCCAGAAATAGTACAGTTCAGTACGGGATATAGCCAAGAAAAAAAAAATGGCAGCCTCCATGTTGAGATTTTGCTTGCAGTTTCCGGCAATGTTTTTGGTTATTTTGGGCTGCAATTGGTGGGTCATCCTTGATAAAACTGAGAAAGTTAATAATTTAAACCATAAAAATATTTAATTTGATCTAGTTCAATGGGAAAAAATGAATGTTTCAGGGAATATCACTCATACGGTTATATATACTTGGTTTTATCGCATATCGCTTAACAATGGTATTTTTTTTTATTCCACCTTAAAAATTTGATGTTTTTTTTGGAAAAAATTTTCGTTTGTCGGGGTTTTATCGGGTCAGGTTTGGGGAATTATTTGTCATTTTTTTGGGGAGGGGTCCCTTTTTTACGGTACAGTTGTATAGGGGAAAACCACTGCAGCACACTATGAAATGTCATGATAATTTCTGATGAGAGCCCAAATTACTTCCCTTTTATGCTAGAGTTGCATTTCCTTATTGGTTTTGGGGTATATTTTTGTTCCTATTTAATGAAAAGAAAAAAACTATTTAAACATTTGACATCTTAGCTAAGAATTTATTTAAAAACTTGTGCTAGAGGGAACAGATTTTTTTGGGAAAAAATAAATAATTATCTTCAGTAGGTAGCAGTATAGTCAGTGACATCGGCGCATGGAGTGCCTGTGCCTTTTTGTAGGGGAAAAGATAGCGCAATAAATTAGAAAAGGGGGGAACCTGAAATCAGATTCAAACATCTGAAAATGGTATTTACCTTCATATTTGTGAAAAAAGAAATTATTTCAATTTAATTTGCCATGCGTGGTACATAGCAGAGGCTATTGTGGGGAAATGCTTTTTCCTCAATTAAAGGAAAATGTTACAAAAGTTGGGTTGATAATAGACATATGTTATTTTATATAAAGGTGACACATGTTTTGTTTGGCACTATTTACGATGTTTGGGTGGTTAAGATTTAATAGATTGTTTTTATCCTTTTTTAGGCCTAAATGTGCTTGTGAAGTTTAAAAGTTAGGTGTAGATGTGTTTATGGAGTTATTAAAAAGCATTGGTATTGGCACAACTAAGGTGTTGGGAGGCACAGATATAGCAAAGTGTTCAGGTAAGTAATTTGTTATATGCCCGAAAGAATTTCGGGCATATGTTTTACCCCCTGGCGTCCGTCCGTCTGTCCGTCTGCACTCACAGGAGATTAATTATGTGGCTAGAGGGACAATAGGTAACTGTTCTTTCTCTTTGATGTCATTCATTCCGTAATGCTTTTATGTGGCTATTTTCTTTTGCATGGCTAAAAAGAACAATAGAGAGAACAATAGAGTAGCCACATAATTACTGTCCTGTGAGAACTTCTGTCCGTCCTATTACCTTTAAACTGAAAACAGTTTCCGGAGCATAACTTGAGTTCAATTTGGCCCAAAGTGTTCAAACTTCATAGGATGATTGTCCATACTGGGTAGAAGACCCCTATTGATTTTGGGGTCACAAGGTTAAAGGTCAAGGTCACTATAACCTTAAAACTGAAAACAGTTTCCAGAACATAACTTAAGTTCCATTTGGCCCACAGTGTTCAAACTTCATGGGATGATTGTCTATATTTGATAGAACACCCCTATTGATTTTGGGGTCACAAGGTCAAAGTTCAAGGTCACTATTACCTTAAAACTGAAAACAGTTTCCACAGCATAACTTAAGTTCCATTTGGCCCTAAATATTTACACTTCATAAGAGGATTGCTATTTGAAGGAGGTTATACTTTATTTAATTCCCATGTCTTACAAATGCTTCATCCTTACTAAAAAAACAAAACACTTTCGGGCATATAATGCTCCGCCTAGCGGTGCTCTGGTTTTCTTTGTGGAAATCATGGAGCTGCTATCAACATTTATAGTGCTTATGCATGTATGTGCTTTTCTAGTTGATGAAGACTTTCTTATTAAAAAAGAATTATGCACTTGCCTCAATATTTGGCAAGAAATTGTTATAATTTTAATGGGTTGATGGCATGCTGCTTACTATCTCAGTGGGACTTGGAATGCCTGGTTGGGACTGAATTTTTTATGTACATTAATTTTGTTTTTCTAAAAAAAATTAAAGTTGAAGAAAGAAAATTTGGTGTGCATCTAAAATATCCAACAGTCTGTGATGGTTGCTCGAAACGATAAATGTAAAATCTTAAGTTTCTATTTTTTGCCAATTTTGGGGAGCAAAGTTTATTGTAAATTAGCACGTCTGGAAACACAAAAAAACTTAAAGCAAGGGATTTGCTTATTTTTTTTTAGGTTAAAAAGTAATTGCATAAAAAACTGGTAGTAGGCATGTGTAGTGTTGTGTTCCTGTTACAGTCCCTTTATTATACCCCCGCACAACAAAGTTGTAAGGGGGGTATACTGGAATCAGCTTGTCCGTCCGGCCGTCCGTCTGTCCGTCGGTTTTTTCTTGTCCGCCCAATAACTTAAGATTCCTTTGACCCTTAGTCTTCATATTTGGCATGGAGGTTAGTCATGATTAGTAGATGACCCCTATTGATTTTGAGGTCACTAGGTCAAAGGTCAAGGTCACAGGGGCCTTGACTTCAAAAAGCTTGTCCGCCCAATAACTTAAGATTCCTTTGACCTACAGTCTTCATATTTGGCATGGAGGTTAGTCATGATTAGTAGATGACCCCTATTGATTTTGAGGTCACTAGGTCAAAGGTCAAGGTCACAGGGGCCTTGACTTCAAAAAGCTTGTCCGCCCAATAACTTAAGATTCCTTTGACCCTTAGTCTTCATATTTGGCATGGAGGTTAGTCACGATTAGTAGATGACCCCTATTGATTTTGAGGTCACCAGGTCAAAGGTCAAGGTCACAGGGGCCTTGACTTCAAAAAGCTTGTCTCCCAATAACTTAAGATTCCTTTGACCCATAGTCTTCATATTTGGCATGGAGGTTAGTCATGATTAGTAGATGACCCCTATAGACTTTGAGGTCACCAGGTTAAAGGTCAAGGTCACAGGGGCCATGACTTCAAAAAGCTTGTCCGCCCAATAACTTAAGATTCCTTTGACCCACAGTCTTCATATTTGGCATGGAGGTTAGTCATGATTAGTAGATGACCCTATTGACTTTGAGATCACCAGGTCAAAGGTGAAGGTCACAGGGGCCTTGACTTCAAAAAGCTTTTCCGCCCTATAACTTAAGATTCCTTTGACCCACAGTCTTCATATTTGGCATGGAGGTTAGTCATGATTAGTAGATGACCCCTATTGATTTTGAGGTCACCAGGTCAAAGGTCAAGGTCACAGGGGCCTTGACTTCAAAAAAGCTTGTCCGCCCAATAACTTAAGATTTCTTTGACCCACAGTCTTCATATTTGGAATGGAGGTTAGTCATGATTAGTAGATGACCCCTATTGATTATGAGGTCACCAGGTCAACGGTCACAGGGACTTTGACTTCAAAAAGTTTGTCTGCCCAATAACTTTAGATTCCTTTGACCCACAGTCTTCATATTTGGCATGGATGTTGATCATGATTAGTAGATGACCCCTTTTGATTTTGAAGTCACTGGATCAAAGGTCAAGGTCATAGGGACTTTGACTTCAAAAAGTTTGTCCACCCATTAACTTAAGATTCCTTTGACCCACAGTCTTCATATTTGGCATGGATGTTGATCATGACTATAAGGTGACCCCTATTGATTTTGAGGTCACTGGGTAAAAGGTCAAGGTCACAGGGACCTTGACAAAAAAAAAGTTTTTCTTCTCAATTGCTAAAGAATGTCCTGTCCGCAATGTATTGATTTTGACATTTTCACATTTGAAGCATGTAGAATACATAATTTAGCAATGCACTGGCTTAGTAACCTCAGATTTGGCAGGGAGGTTGTCCTTGAGCTCTAAATGGCCACTGTTGATTCTGACAAAGTGGTATGCGGGGGTATTCACGCCATGATAGTGGCAGTTCTAGTTTATCATTGTTTGCCTTAATTATTGTTCTTTTCCCCCTTTTTAGGTTTGGCTGTGTTTGTGGAGTTGAAGAGTCGATATTGGCAAATTTGGAGCATTGGGAGATTGGGATATAGTAAAGTGTGCGTGTTATTGGCAAATGTAGAACATAGGAAGATAAGATTACAGTGCATTGTGCAGGTAAGTTGGTTCCCCCCTTTCTAGCCTTTGACTCACATAATTGGTAGTTTTGTTATAGAAACTTGCCATAAATGGGTACATGGAAGTGTTCAGTTAAGGAAAAAAGAAAAATAATGAAGACTTTGTGATATATAGTTTTCAAAAAAATTAGATATTAGAGAACTAGTGACCCAAAATCAGTAGGGGTTATCTAATAGGTATCACCAATCAGTATTTGAAATATGAAGACTTTGTGATCAATAGTTTTCGAAATTAATAATAGGGGTCATCTACCACTTATGAACATTCAATATGTGAAATATGAAGACTTTGTGATTAATACTTTTCAAGATAATCAGCGAAAACCATTCTGATATTTAAGGTCCCTGAGACCTTGATCTTTGACCTAGTGATCCCTAAATCAATAGGGGTCATCTACTAGTAATGACCAATAACTGTATGAATTTGAAGCATTTTTATGCCCCCGCCATGTAATGGCCGGGGCATATAGTGTTACCCTGTTCCGTCATTCCGTCCTTCCGTCCTTCCATCCTTTCGTCCTTCCGTCATTCTGTCATTCCGTCATCATCAGTTTCCGTTCATTATCTTAAGAACGGTTGCACACATTCAACTCAAATTTGACATATGGATATGTCATGAGAAAATACAGGTCAAGTTCGAATTTGGTCATGGTTCGATGATTTTTGGCAGAGGTATGCCCCTTTTACTTTGAAAATAATATGAAATTTCAGTTTCCGTTCATTATCTCCCCAACGGTACAACACATTCAACTCAAACTTGACATATGGATATGTCATGAGAAAATACAGGTCAAGTTCAAATTTGGTCATGGTTCGATGATTTTTGGCAGAGTTATGCCCCTTTTACTTTGAAAATAATATAAAATTTTCAGTTTCCGTTCATTATCTCCTCAATGGTACAACACATTCAACTCAAACTTGACATATGGATATTTCATGAGAAGATACAGGTCAAGTTTAAATTTGGTCATGGTTCGATGATTTTTGGCAGAGTTATGCCCCTTTTACTTTGAAAATAATATGAAATTTTCAGTTTCCGTTTATTATCTCCCCAATGGTACAACACATTCAGCTCAAATTTGACATATGGATATGTTTTTGGAATGCCCAGGCCAAGTTCGAATTTGGTCATGGTTCAATGATTTTTGGCAGAGTTATGCCCCTTTCACTTTGAAAATAATATGAAATTTACAGTTTCTGTTCATTATTTACCCAACAGTGTTACATATTCAACTTAAATTTGACATATGGATATGTCAAAGGAATGGGCAGGTCAAGTTGGAATTTGGTCATGGTTTGATGATTTTTTGGCAGAGTTATGTCCCTTTCTTTTTGAAAATAATATAGATACATCTAAGAAATAAGCAGTTTAAGTTTGAATTTGGTCGTGGTTCAATGATTATAGACAAACTTATCTTTCCTGAATGTTGGAAAAATTTTGAACTTTCAGTTTCAGCACTCATACTTTTAGCCATTATTTTGGCTACAAATATGCAATATGCTATTTTTAAAAGGTTAAGACTGAATTATATCAGTGCCTTGAACATTGTATGAAAATGGTTAGTGTTAACATTGAAAAGTTTTAAGGGCTTTGAACTTAAAATGAAAAAAATAATTAATGCACCATCTGAAATTTTGGCTGCATGTGGGGGCATCTGTGGCATGATGACACATTTCTAGTTCATAGTTGCATAGCAGTTTGAAATTTTTCGCAATATGCTAATTGGGTAAAAGGTTAAGTTGACCTTCACTAATATAATATTCTATTAATCACATATCCTGCATTCAGACTGTTCAAGCAGAAAAGAATAATTTTTCATTGACACATCTATAGTGTTACACTGTGTATTTGCACTATGTTTGTATAAGCATATGATGTCACGTCAAAATATCAAAATGTTTGTTCACACTTAGAAGCACATTCATGAATTTTTTAAGCCTGAATTTTAACTAATATTTTGATAAAAAAAAGTCACAGCCCTATGACAAGCTTTCTAGAAAGGACATATATTAAAGGAATTATATTGGCAGCAAAACTTTGGGGCTTTAGCAAAATCTGTTATATAAATTGTAAAAGCTGTATATCAGTAATACATAATTTATAAATTTAACTACTGTACATTTCAGGCACTCCACCATGCACTCTTAATGTAGAGTACTCCTACCCTTGGGATTATGCCCAACAAGTGCACTATCCCAATCATTCTCAATAGGTTGGTTCAATATATTTTAGGACACCAAGAAAGTTCCATGTGATTTGTGTTTGTGCGGAGGGATCAGGTTAGTTTGCCAATAACATTTTTTGACATATTTTTTCATGAGCATATTGTAAAAAATATTTAAGAATATTATAAAGTAGCATTGTCCTGATTGTCTCTGAAAATTGATAACTGATCGGACCACCCCAAAATCGGCAACAATCGATAGTCCTTTTTAAAAATCAATTTTTTTAATGTTCTGCCATCGCTAAATTGCCTATACTATATTGTTAATACTTCTTTAGAAATTTATAGTGTGTAATAACATAATATATAAACTTACATATCTACTGTGGTTAAATATTTTGACCTGTTGACTAGTACTAATATTGACTGCCATAAAGTTGTGTAATACAAAAATTGCCTGTTACAAAGTTGTATTAGGTATTTGTGTAGGTATGACTAAATACCGAATATGAATTCATATTCACGAATATGAACGGGAGTACAAAGAGTAAATCTTTCTTTAATCTTGATGACTAGAGTTTATTCATTCTCAAAATGTGGTCACTTCTGTATAACAAATATATACAGTCGGCATTGTACTTGCGTCCACCTTTATTGAGCGACTTTTTTATTAAGCGGCCGCATAAAATCCCTCCCGATGATTTTTACTATATAAGTTGATTCCATTAAACAACGATTTTATATCGCGGCCAGCGGCCACTAAATGTCGGCCCAAATGTACAAAATTCAGTGTTAAAGTATCTATTAAACGGTTGTGACAAACAATCGTCCCAACGGACATTCTCACCTGTGTAATTAGCGAGTTGGTTTGAACAAACAAATATTTTTCATGGTCATTGGTCTTAAAGTATCTATTAAACGGCCGTCAATTAGACCGTCACAAATAATTGTCGTTTAAAAACGAATTGAATAACAATTGCAATTGTTTCAAAATCGGAAAGAAAGAAACAGCTTTTCCGATAGTACATGTGATATTTATTGTGACATATTTTGTCAGAGCAATAACGTATCACAACACCGCATTGGCACAGTTTTGTCATGTGCTTAGAGTGACCTCCCTTCCAGAAAATCAAATCGAAAATGAAGTCGGAACGAGCGAAAAAATGACAGACAACTAATAATACCGGATAATTTGAATGAGGAAATCGTGCATGGAATTGAGTCTGAGTAAATAGCAAATGCCATCGCTTGTAGTCGAAATAAAATCTTGAAACGTAGTGGACTAAACATTACAGAACCTTGCCTTTCATTGCTGATGGTGTAGGTGCTCATTTGATGCTTTATAAAATACATGTAGTACCCCATTTAATATGACCCTTCGACAAATTAAAAAAAAATGAATAAAAAAAAAAAAGATAATGATAATCTAAGATCTCTAAAACTTTAATATTTTGAATTAGGGGTAGTGTGAAAACTAATTGCTGAAAAAAATCAAGAAGTTTAAAACTCATTGCATGAAAAATTATCTAGAGGTCTGGCTGATGATTTGAAAGTATGTTCAGCATTAGATGTGTATGAACATATTAATAATATATGACAATATGCTTTGTTTCAAGGTCAAAATGACCTGTTTATAGTATAATGAGCGTAGATCACATTTGTACACAAATTTCTACTAAAAAAAACAACAAACAAACACAATTGATGACTTTTTTTAAACGAAAGGCATAAATGTAATTATGAAACTGTAATACATATATAATATTGTACAGTTTTTGTTTTTATAAAAAGATGTTATTTTATCTATGACTTGTAATATAAAAAAGTCTCGAATTTTCCAGAATTCTATTGAGAGACCACTTTATTAAGAGACCACTTTTTGGCAGTCCCTTGAGTGGTCTCTTAATACAATGTCGACTTTACTAGGTTTGGTACCTTAAAAGAAAAAAGGGATATAAAAAATGCAAAACTCAATTATACTATCGGCAGACAATCGATTGTGGTGGTCCGATTATCAATTGTGACTTTTGAGCCCGATACCCAACACTATTATAAAGGTATATTTTTGTAATTTTTTAATGTCAAATGTGTTCCTTTGCCATACATTTTATTATTATTCTTTTATGCCATGGTATTTTCAGTTGTGAAAAGAATATTCAGTTAAAAAAAATCTTAATTATGCCCCCCTTCGGAGAAGAGGGGGTATATTGTTTTGCTAATGTCGGTCTGTCCGTCAGTAGACCACATGGTTTCCGCTGATTATCTTGAAAACTATTTATCACAAAGTCTTCATTTTTCACATAGTGATTGGCCATAACTAGTAGATGGTCCCTATCGATTTTGGGGTCACTATGTTAAAGGTCAGGGTCACAGGGTCTTTAAATGTCAAAATGGTTTCCACTGATTATCTTGAAAAGTATTAAGCACAAAGAAGTCATATTTCACATATTGATTGGTCATAACTAGTAAATGGCCCTTATCGATTTTGGGGTCACTATGTTAAAGGTCAAGCTCACAGGGGTCTTAAATGTCAGAACGGTTTTAGCTGATTATCTTGAAAAGTATTCATCACAAAGTTGTCATATTTCACATATTGATTAATCATAATTAGTAGATGAACCCTATTAATTTTGGGGTCACTAGGTCAAGGTCACAGGGGCTTCATATTATATTGATTGGTGATACCTATTACATGACCCCTATTGATTTTTGGTCTGTAGTTCTCTAATATCTCATTATCTTGAAAACTATTTATCACAAAGTCTCCATTATTTTTCTTTTTTCCATAATTGAACACATCCATGTACCCATTTATGGCAAGTTTCTATAGCAAAACTACCAATTATGTGAGTCAAGGGCTAGAAAAGGGGGCATATGTGTTGTTCAACATTCTTGTTTTAAGTTTAATTTTAAGTACTATTTATATCCTTTACAATTTTTATAAACTTCTAATTTATATGTATTTTAGGACTTCATGGAAGTGTCAGTCTCAACATGCTCTGGAAAGTGAAGAAACAATGCAACAGGTTGCCAGTATTGTCCTGCAGTCATCAAGACATGGCCACAATATCCCACAGCTTATAGATGATCTAAAAAGCCATTGGAAGTCATTTTAATAGTAAAACCCCTGAGGCCTGCTGCTCTAAGGACTAATGCTATATTGACTAGTGTGTGGCTAGTGTGTGGATCATATTAATTAATGGTTGCCTATATTAGTTTTGGATGTCAGCTTACCAGTTACTTATTTCCATAATGTTTATAACATTTCATGTGATTGAGTTTAGTGTAATACAACATTTGTCACGTCACTTTCAGTTATAGAATTGCATTGAACCTATGCATTTTATGAATTGATCGACTGTAATCCTGTCTTTACAAGTTTTTAAAGTATTGATTTCAAGATAAATAAACAGTTTTAATTGGTTGTGTGACTATATCTTATTGAAAATGACTGCATAAAATGTAGAGTAATAAGCTTCAGTACTTGCTGTCAAGTTTTAAACATTTTATAGTTTTAGAATATGAAAACTATCTTATCTATAACAATGATAGGTCAGTTAATTTTTAGCCGGGTTGCACTGGTGTAAATCCGGGTTATAGTATGGTGAATGTCGGGCGGCGGGCGGGGAAAATATTTTCGTAACAGTTTTCTCAGCAACTACTTACCACAGCCTCTTGATATTTGGCATACAGCATTGACACATGGTCCCATACCGTGGGACTCGATTTCAGGTCTGTCGCTCATCCACTTCCTGTTTATCCACTTAGTTAAATTAGTTAGATTTTTCAACATTAATGGTCAATGGTAGGAAATTTTCGTAACAGTTTTCTCAGCAACTACTTATCACAGCCTCTTGATATTTGGCATACAGCATTGACACATGGTCCCATACCGTGGGATTCGATTTCAGGTCTGTCGCTCATCCACTTCCTGTTTATCCACTTAGTTAAATTAGTTAGATTTTTTTCAACATTAATGGTCAATGGTAGGAAATTTTCGTAACAGTTTTCTCAGCAACTACTTATCACAGCCTCTTGATATTTGGCATACAGCATTGACACATTGTCCCATACTGTGGGATTTGATTTCAGGTCTGTTGCTCATCCACTTCCTGTTTATCCACTTAGTTAAATTAGTTAGATTTTTCAACATTAATGGTCAATGGTAGGAAATTTTCGTAACAGTTTTCTCAGCAACTACTTATCACAGCCTCTTGATATTTGGCATACAGCATTGACACATGGTCCCATACTGTGGGATTTGATTTCAGGTCTGTCGCTCATCCACTTCCTGTTTATCCACTTAGTTAAATTAGTTAGATTTTTCGACATTAATGGTCAATGGTAGGAAATTTTCGTAACAGTTTTCTCAGCAACTACTTATCACAGCCTCTTGATATTTGGCATGCAGCATTGACACATGGTCCCATACTGTGGGATTCGATTTCAAGTCTGCAGCTCATCCACTTCCTGTTCACATTAATGGTCAATGGTAGGAAATTTTTGTAACATTTTTCTCAGAAACTACTAATCACAGCCTCTTGATATTTGGCATACAGCATTGACACATGGTCCCATACTGTGGGATTCGATTTTAGGTGTGTTATCCACTTCCTGTTTACTTACTGAATTAAATTTTCAACATTAATGGGTCAATGGAATTTTTTTTTTCGTAACATCACAGCCTCATGATATTTGGTGTACAAATGCAACCCGGCCTTTTCTGTCTTTGACCCATTTTTTATGTTGATATTAGTGTAGAATCACTTTGTAAAATTATCATAAATCCTGAACATTGTTAAAAAAAGCATGAAAATCAAAGAAAATTCCATGGTAGCTAGGCTACTAAAATTTCCTTCAGTTAGAAAGGATTTTTAACAGGAACAACATAATAAAAATACTCTGAATGTTTGATATCATTGTAACTCTTTCGGAACTTAATCTCCTATATGCCTGTAAAATTTGGAAATTTATAACAAAATAATAATTATTCATTAAACACTAATTATATACAAAGACAGTAAGTACCATTTTTTTGGTAAGAATTTTCTGTATGTCATTAATAATTAATTATGCTAGTCAATTCAAAGTCCTTACTGTATTGTGGAACCACAGTGTAGTTTACACCAGATGTTCCTGAAAATACTTTTATGAAAATATGTTTTTCAAAACCTACATTAAAGTGAGTCTAAGGATACTTGATCCAAGAATCATTGTTAAGATTGCACTTATAGTTCTAATATTTTTGTTTTTGTGATCATGCTGCTTTGTTCATGATATGTTGAGATCTTTTTGTGTCGCCTTAAAAAGGCAACATATAGGGATTACTTTTGTCGGCGGTGTCGGTGGCGGCGTCCCCTAAAGATTGTCCGGAGCATAACTCAGTCACTATAAGTCTGATTGACTTCAAACTTGGTATGCATGCTTCTTTCAATAACCCAAAGTGCAGTGCACAAGAATCAGTACTCTGCACTTCTTAATTTTTGAGTTATTGCCCTTTGTTAATTTTCATACTTTATTTTTGTCTGGGCCATTTCTCTTCAACTATAAAAGCTATGGACTTGAAACTTCATAGAATGATAGATCTCATTTAGAAAAAGTGCAGTGCACAAGAACCGGTACTTTGCACTTCCTAATTTTTGAGTTATTGCCCTTTGTTAATTTTCATATTTTATTTTTGTCCAGGTCATTTCTCCTAAAGTATAAAAGCTATGGACATGTAACTTCATAGGATGATAGATCTCATTAAGAAAATGTGCATTGTACAAGAACTGGTACTCTGCATTTCTTATTTTTGAGTTATTGCCCTTTATTGTGTCGCCTTTCTTTTTAGCTCACCTGTCACAAAGTGACAGGGTGAGCTTTTGTGTCGTCCGTCCGTCGTCCGTCCGTAAACTTTTACTTTAAATGACATCTCCTCATAAACCACTAAGCCAATTTCATCCAAACTTCACAGGAATGTTCCTTTGGTGGTCACCTTTAAAAATTGTTCAAAGAATTTAATTCCATGCAGAACTCTGGTTGCCATGGCAACCGAAAGAAAAAACTTTAAATATCTTCTTTTAAAAAACCATAAGAGCTAGAGCTTAGATATTTGGCATGAAACATCTTCTAGTGAGTGTCTACCAAGTTTGTTCAAATAAAAGCCCTGGGGTCAAAATTGGCCCCGCCCCAGGGGGTCATTGATTTTCCCTATATGCATATAGTAAAAACTTAAAAAATCTTCTTTTAAAGAACTCAAAGAGCTATGGCTAAGATATTGAGCATCAAACATGTTCTAATAAGTGTCTACCAAGTTTGTTCAAATAAAAGCCCTGGGGTCAAAATTGGCCTTGCCCCAGGGGGTCATTGATTTTCCCTATATGCATATAGTAAAAACTTAAAAAATCTTCTTTTAAAGAACTCAAAGAGCTATGGCTAAGATATTTAGCATCAAACATGTTCTAATAGGTGTCTACCAAGTTTGTTCAAATAAAAGCCCTGGGGTCAAAATTGGCACCGCCCCGGGGGTCATTGATTTTCCTTATATGTGTATAGCAAAAACTTAAAATCTTCTTTGAAAAAACCCAAATAGCTAGAGTTAAGATATTAAGCATGAAACATCTTTTAGTGAGTGTCTACAAAGTTTGTTCAAATAAAATAAAAGCCCTGGGGTCAAAATTGGCCCCGTCCCAGGGGGTCATTGATTTTCCCTATATGCATATAGTAAAAACTTAAAAAATCTTCTTTTAAAGAACCCAAAGAGCTAGAGCTAAGATATTTAGCATGAAACATCTTCTAATGGGTGTCTACCAAGTTTGTTCAAATAAAAGCCCTGGGGTCAAAATTAGCCCTGCCCCGGGGGTCATTGATTTTCCCTATATGCATTTAGTAAAAACTTAAAAAATCTTCTTTTAAAGAACTCAAAGAGCTATGGCTAAGATATTGAGCATCAAACATGTTCTAATAGGTGTCTACCAAGTTTGTTCAAATAAAAGCCCTGGGGTCAAAATTGGCCCCGCCCCAGGGGGCCATTGATTTTCCCTATATGCATATAGTAAAAACGTAAAAAATCTTCTTTTTAAAGAACCCAAAGAGTTAGAGCTAAGATATTTAGCATGAAACATGTTCTAATAAGTGTCTACCAAGTTTGTTCAAATAAAAGCCCTGGGGTCAAAATTGGCCCCGCCCCAGGGGGTCATTGATTTTCCCTATATGCATATAGTAAAAACTTAAAAAATCTTCTTTTAAAGAACTCAAAGAGCTATGGCTAAGATATTTAGCATCAAACATGTTCTAATAGGTGTCTACCAAGTTTGTTCAAATAAAAGCCCTGGGGTCAAAATTGGCACCGCCCCAGGGGGTCATTGATTTTCCTAATATGTGTATAGCAAAAACTTAAAATCTTTTTTTTGAAAAAACCCAAATAGCTAGAGTTAAGATATTAAGCATGAAACATCTTTTAGTGAGTGTCTACAAAGTTTGTTCAAATAAAAGCCCTGGGGTCAAAATTGGCCCCGCCCCGGGGGTCATTGATTTTCCTTATATGTGTATAGCAAAAACTTAAAATCTTCTTTGAAAAAACCCAAATATCTAGAGTTTAGATATTAAGCATGAAACATTTTCTAGTTGGTGTCTACAAAGTTTGTTCAAATAAAAGCCCTGGGGTCAAAACTGGCCCGGCCCCAGGGGTGTCATTGTTTTTAACTATATGTGTATAGTAAAAACTTTAAAAAAATCTTCTTTTAAAAAGCCCAATGTGCTAGAGCTTAGATGTTTAGCATGAAACATCTTCTTATGGGTGTCTACCAAATTTGTGCAAATAAAAGCCTTTGGGTTAAAATTTGCCCTGCAACGTAGGGGGGTCCTATATACAGGTGAGCGACCTCAGGGCCATCATGGCCCTCTTGTTTATTTGTGCAATTTCATCCAAACTTTACAGGAATGATCAGTACCAAGTCTAGTTGTGCATATTGTCAGCATTTTCCGGTTCAATGATTTTTGTCAGAGTTATGGCCCTTTAATAATTTTTGTTTTTTAAGTTTGTCCGGACTACTTCTCTTATACCACTAATGCAATTTCAATGAAACTTTACAGGATTGATCTGTAGCTCAAGTCCTTGCTCATATTGCACGGGTTTTCGGGTTGAATGATTTTTGGCTGAGTTATGGCCCTTTGATAAAAAGGTGTTTTTTTCTGTGTGTTGCCAGTTACACAAAAGCATGTTCGGACTACTCCTCATAAATTACTGGTGCAATTTCATCCAAACTTTACAGGAATGATCAGTACCAAGTCTAGTTGTGCATATTGTCAGCATTATCCGGTTCAATGATTTTTTTTGTCAGAGTTATGGCCCTTTAATAATTTTTATATGCCCGAAAGAATTTCGGGCATATTATGTTATACCCCCTGGCGTCCGTCTGTCCGTCCGTCCGTCCGTTAGTAATTTGGTTTCCGGAGCATAACTTAAGTTCCATTTGGCCCACAGTATTCAAATTTCATAGGATGATTGCCCATATTGGGTAGAAGACCCCTATTGATTTTGGGGTCACAAGGTCAAAGGTCAAGGTCACTATTAGCTAAATACTGAAAATGGTTTCCGGAGCATAACTTAAGTTCCATTTGGCCCACAGTATTCAAACTTCATAGGATGATTGCCCATATTGAGAAGAAAACCCCTATTGATTTTGGGGTCACAAGGTCAAAGGTCAAGGTCACTATTACATAAATACTGAAAATGGTTTCCGGAGCATAACTTAAGTTCTGTTTGACCCACAGTATTCAAACTTCATAGGATGATTGCCTATATTGGGTAGAAGACCCCTATTGATTTTGGGGTCACAAGGTCAAAGGTCAAGGTCACTATTAGCTAAATACTGAAAATGGTTTCCGGAGCATAACTTAAGTTCCATTTGGCCCACAGTATTCAATCTTCATAGGATGATTGCCCATATTGAGAAGAAATCCCCTATTGATTTTGGGGTCACAAGGTCAAAGGTCAAGGTCACTATTAGCTAAATACTGAAAATGGTTTCCGGAGCATAACTTAAGTTCTGTTTGACCCACAGTATTCAAACTTCATAGGATGATTGTCCATATTGGGTAGAAGACCCCTATTGATTTTGGGGTCACAAGGTCAAAGGTCAAGGTCACTATTAGCTAAATACTGAAAATGGTTTCCGGAGCATAACTTAAGTTCCATTTGGCCCACAGTATTCAAACTTCATAGGATGATTGCCCATATTGAGAAGAAAACCCCTATTGATTTTGGGGTCACAAGGTCAAAGGTCAAGGTCACTATTAGCTAAATACTGAAAATGGTTTCCGGAGCATAACTTAAGTTCTGTTTGACCCACAGTATTCAAACTTCATAGGATGATTGTCCATATTGAGTAGAAGACCCCTATTGATTTTGGGGTCACAAGGTCAAAGGTCAAGGTCACTATTAGCTTAATACTGAAAATGATTTCCGGACCATAACTTAAGTTCCATTTTGCCCACAGTATTCAAACTTCATAGGATGAGTGTCCATATTGAAAAGAAGACCCCTATTGATTTTGGGGTCACAAGGTTAAAGGTCAAGGTCACTATTAGCTTAGTATTGAAAATTGTTTCCGGAGCAAAACTTAAGTTCCATTTGGCCCACAGTATTCAAACTTCATAGGATGATTGCCTATATTGGGTAGAAGACCCCTATTGATTTTGGGGTCACAAGGTCAAAGGTCAAGGTCACTATTAGCTAAATACTGAAAATGGTTTCCGGAGCATAACTTAAGTTCCATTTGACCCACAGTATTCAAACTTCATAGGATGATTGTCCATATTAAATAGAAGACCCCTATTGATTTTGAGGTCACAAGGTCAAAGGTCAAGGTCACTTTAAGCTTAATACTGAAAATGGTTTCCGGAGCATAACTTAAGTGCCATTTGGCCAACAGTATTCAAACTTCATAGGATGATTGTTCATATTGGGTAGAAGACTGCTATTGATTTTGGGGTCACAAGGTCAAATATCAAGGGATTACTATCACCTTTAAGCTGGAAACAGTTTTCGCTCAATAAATTTTATAGGATTAACAGCTTTATACCCCTGAAGTCTTGGTGTCCATCCATTGTAGCATTTTTACTTACACGATAACAACTTGATGGTGGTGCTTTGAAAACAGCAACTGTATATATACATGAATGTCTTCAGCTATAAAGGAGGATTGCTTTTTTGAAGGAGGTAAAACTGTATTTAATTCCCATGTCTTCCTCACTAAAAGAAAAAGTACTTTCGGGCATATAATGCTCCGCCTAGCGGTGCTCTTGTTATTTTTAAAGTTTGTCCGGACTACTTCTCTTATACCACTAATGCAATTTCAATGAAACTTTACAGGATTAATTTGAGGCTCAAGTTCTTGCGCATATTGCACAGGTTTTCCGGTTGAATGATTTTTGGCTGAGTTATGGCCCTTTGATAAAAAGGTGTTTTTTTGTGTGTTGCCAGATACACAAAAGCTTCTCGGGACTACTCATAAACTACTGGTGCAATTTTATCCAAACTTTACAGGAATGATCAGTACCAAGTCTAGTTGTGCACTGTCCTTCTGTCTGTTCGTCTGTCACAAATCTTGTCCCAGCATGAAATTGGCCATCATGAGGCGACACATGTGATCACTGATCGCTCTTGTTAATTTTCATACTGTATTTTGTCCAGGCCATTTCTCATAAATTATAAAAGCTATGGTCTTGAAACTTCATAGGATGCTATGTCTTATTGATAAGAAGTGCAGTGCAAAGAAACTGCTGCTCTGCACTTCTTATTTTTAGCTCACATGAGCCGAAGGCTCAGGGTGAGCTATTAGTATCAAAGGGGGATCAAAGGGGGATGCTCCGTCGTCCGTCGTCATGCGTCAGCAATTGTCTTCTTCTCTGAAACTACAAGGCAGATTTACTTCAAATTTGGTCTGTAGCATCCTTGAATTTGCTCATGTCATTCCAATTTAGGGGTGTGGATCGTCGGATAAGTGACGATCCGATCCAAACCACTATTTAGCACTTACGATTCACAAATCAAACCACAAATCTTTTGTTATCAAGACACCCATAAAAACATGTACATTAGTTATAAAAACATGTTTATTTAAAAAAAAAAAACAATACTAAACATTAAACATATAAAATATAAACTAGGTTTATGTTTTTAGCTCATCTGTCACAAAGTGACAGGGTGAGCTTTTGTGATCGCTTTTCGTCCGGCGTCCGTCCGTCCGTCGTCCGTCCGTCCGTAAACTTTTGCTTTAAATGACATCTCCTCATAAACCACTGAGCCAATTTCATCCAAACTTCACAGGAATGTTCCTTTGGTGGTCACCTTTAAAAATTGTTCAAAGAATTTAATTCCATGCAGAACTCTGGTTGCCATGGCAACCGAAAGAAAAATCTTTAAATATCTTCTTTTAAAGAACTGTAAGAGCTAGAGCTTAGATATTTGGCATGAAACATCTTCTAAAGAGTGTCTACCAAGTTTGTTCAAATAAAAGCCCTGGGGTCAAAATTGGCCCCGCCCCAGGGGGTCATTGATTTTCCCTATATGCATATAGTAAAAAATTAAAAAATCTTCTTTTAAAGAACTGTAAGAGCTAGAGCTTAGATATTTGGCATGAAACATCTTCTAGTGAATGTCTACCAAGTTTGTTCAAATAAAAGCCCTGGGGTCAAAATTGGCCCCGCCCCAGGGGGTCATTGATTTTCCCTAAATGCATATAGTAAAAACTTAAAAAATCTTCTTTTAAAGAACCCAAAGAGCTAGAGCTAAGATATTTAGCATGAAACATCTTCTAGTGAGTGTCTACCAAGTTTGTTCAAATAAAAGTCCTGGGGTCAAAATTGGCCCCGCCCTGGGGGGTCATTGATTTTCCCTATATGCATATAGTAAAAACTTAAAAAATCTTCTTTTAAAGAACCGTAAGAGCTAGAGCTTAGAGTTTTGGCATGAAACATCTTCTTGTGAATGTCTACCAAGTTTGTTCAAATAAAAGCCCTGGGGTCAAAATTGGCCCCGCCCCAGGGGGTCATTGATTTTCCCTATATGCATATAGAAAAAAACTTAAAAAATCTTCTTTTAAAGAACCCAAAGAGCTAGAGCTAAGATATTTAGCATGAAACATGTTCTAATAGGTGTCTACCAAGTATGTTCAAATAAAAGCCCTGGGGTCAAAACTGGCCCCGCCCCGGGGGTCATTGATTTTCCTTATATGTGTATAGCAAAAACTTAAAAATCTTCTTTGAAAAAGGGGCTATATACAGGTGAGCGACCTCAGGGCCATCATGGCCCTCTTGTTGTATTTTCTGATCGCAAGATCAGTAAATACAAAGCTAACATCCACGGTCTAACACAAAATTTCCTTACAGACCTAACAACGCAAAGTAGTTCTCACTCAAAACTGCTTAAAAACCAGCAATTTAAAAGAAAGAATAATTTATGATGTAGGCATTTAACGAATTACAGTGCATTAAAAGTTTAGATTAGTCAATAGAAATATGAGGTTACAATCACAAATTTCGTGAATGAATATCTTTTTTACCCAATGAAAAATGTTCGGCTATTTCCGTAAAGCTTCGGATTATCATGAAGGGACTCTTAATCAATGAAAATGCTATTTTTAGCTATGTCGATTACCGAATACTCCAGAGCAAGGACACAAATAAATCTGACTGTTGAGTAGTGAAATATATACATGTCGGACTGTTTTGGCGAGAAGATTTTCGCTAAATTATTTTCATCAGTGTTAAACAACAGGTTTATCGTGAATAAAATACCTCGAAATTAATAAGGATTACAAACACGAAATGGAAAATCTCAATTTAGAATTACATAATGTATTCGTACATCATAATGTATTCGTACATATGTATTACTTCACCGTGGTGCAGAGGTAAGTGCTCTCGTTTAGGGTGTGAGAGGCTTTTGGTTCAAATCCTAGTCGAGGCAATTTTATTTTTTTTGAAGTGTCTTTTTAGCTCGACTGTTCAATAAGAATAAGTAGAGCTATTGTAGTCACCCGAGCGTCGGCGTCGGTGTCGGCATCTGCGTCGGCGTCAGCGTAACCACTTATGTTAAAGTTTTTGTAATGGTTTAAATATTTTCAAAGTCCATTGACATATGGCTTTGAAACTTTGCACACTTGTTCACCATCATTACTCCAACCTGTAGACAGGAGGAGGTAACTCTATCAAGCATTTTGACAGAATTATGCCCCTTTTTCGACTTAGAATTTATGTTAAAGTTTTTGTAATACCTCAAATATTTTCAAAGTCCATTGACATATGGCTTTGAAACTTTGCACACTTGTTCACCATCATGTCCCCAACATGTAGATAGGAGGAGGTAACTCCATCAAGCATTTTGACAGAATTATGCCTCTTTTTCGACTTAGAATTTACGTTAAAGTTTTTGTAATACCTTAAATATTTTCAAAATTCATTGACATAAGGCTTTGAAACATGTTGAAATTTTTATACTCTTCTTTGAGAGCGTAATAGGACTCTCTCCAAGGCCTATAACTGTAATATGGATTTAAAGAAAAAATTTGCCTTTTTCTTTACTTAGAAAATTTTACCTTTTAATCAAGGCTTTTTTTACTATCAAGCACTAAGAATAGTCGAGCGTTGCTGTCCTATTAAATAGTCTGGTTTTTTTATTGCTTCTCCCCCACACCACTACAACATTCAGCACATAACACATTATACATTATGTACATAACTATAATTCATTACAACCAAACTTAGTGTAAAAAATTTACTATATAGGAGTCACCAGTGGTTGGTCGGCCAGTTTGTCCAGCAATCTGTTGCATTTTCCTTGTCCGGAACATAACTTGAAGACTAATGGTTGGAATTCAATACAACTTCATACAATGGTCAAGCACATTGAGAGGAAGTGCAGTGCGCAAGAACTATAACTCTATCTTGACTAATTACAGAGTTATTGCCCTTTGTTACTTTTCCTTGTCCGGGGCATAACTTGAAAACTATTTGTTGAAATCAAAACAGTTTCATACAATGTTCAAGCACAATAAGAGGAAGTGCAGTGCACATGAACCATAACTCTATCTAAAGTAATTACAGTTATTGCCCTTTGTTATTTTCCAATTCTTTCTTTTGCCTGGAACATAACTTGAAGACTCATGGTTGGAATTCAGTATAACTTCATACAATGGTCAAGCACATTGAGAGGAAGTGCAGTGCACATGAACCATAACTCCATCTTAATTTATTACAGAGCTAGTTCCCTTTATTACTTTTCCTTGTCAGGATCATAACTTGAAAACTGCTAGTTGGAATTCAATACAACTTCATACAATGGTCAAGCCCATTGAATGGAAGTGCAGTGCACAAGAACCATTACTCCATTTTGACAAATTATAGAGTTATTGCAATTTAATACTTTTCCTTATGGTCAAGCACAATAAGAGAAAGTGCAGTCCACAAGAACCATAACTCTATCTAGAGTGATTATAGAGTGGTTGCCCTTTGTTATTTTTCCTTGTTGCAGAGCATAACTTGAAATCTACTGGTTTTAGAATTCAATACAATTTCATACAATGGTCAAGTATATTGAGAAGAAGCGCAGTGCACAGAAACCATAACTCTTTCTTGACTCATTTAAGAGTTTTTTATTGTTCAGTGCATAACTTGAAAATTAATGGTTCATACAATGGTCAAGCGCAGTGAGATGAAGTGCATTTCACAAGAACCATAACTATTTGGACTAATTACATAGTTATTGCCCTTTGTTCCTTTTTTGTCCAGTGCATAACTTGAAAACTAGAAGTTGGAATTCAATGCATCTTCATACAAAGTCAAGCACAATGAGAGGAAGTGCAGTGTACAATAACCATAACTCCATCTTGACTACTGTATGTGTAGAAATATTCGCGGGCTTCAAATTTTTCGCGATCTTCGCGGTGACATTCGATCCGCGAATTCATGTTCAGCGCGAATATTTCTACACCAATAATTTTTTAATAGCCATATTTTCGTTGCATCTATATATTATCGGATTCTTGTATAAGTATATACATGTTTGAACAATACCATTCCATCATGCTCTTTATTCATAGTCTATGTCATAAGTCTGACATCTGATCAGATTATATTTTGTTTTCTAAAAACACAATTACAAATAACACAAACACAACGATTTTGACTTAATTGAAAAACATGGAAAAAAAACACAATTACTCAGTCAACATTTAATTAAAATCGGTGAAAAGGATAAATGCATTCAGTGCTGTTTAAAAACTGTGAAAAATCATGGCACGTTAACCCGGACATTTCCTTTGTTTGTTCATTAATCTGTTGGCTAGGACAAATTTTGAATGTCTTTTGTTCTGTACAATTAGGCGTACTGTTTTGACACCAGGGTGTTTTAAAATAAACTGTGAAGTTCCCCACAATTTGATTACAGTTAAAATGTAAAATGAAAGAAGGCTGCTTGCGAAAAAATTTTTGCCTAATCGTGTAAGAGTAAATTTTGCTTATTTTTCAACCCCTGATGGATGTACGCGAATTTATTGGATTTTCAGCAGTCACCCTTTTCCGCGAATTCAAAAATAGCGCTAATATTGTATATACCCCCAAAATGGACCTTTCGCGGAAAATTTGCTTCCACGAATTTAAATTACACATACAGCTAATTACAGAGTTATTGCTCTTCAGTATTTGCAGTTATTTTCCCTTTGTTCTTTCTTCCTTGTCTGGTGCATTACCTTAAAAACTAGTAGTATATTTAGCGATGTAGTACACTTCTACTCGGATACTGAAGAACCTAGCTAGTATCTCAATGCATTTGGAGATTTCTGTTTTAGTATATTCATGAAATTTATGGGCATAATTCCACAATTTTTCGACACTTACTGAATTGTTGAGTTGGCTTCATCAACATTTGCGAGGGCTCTTTCCAAATTAAGCTATGACACCAGCACCGTGTCAATTGCTCACATTTGAATAAATGTTAATATTTTATTTATTTAATCAAAGCTCTGTGAAATACATTTTTGTATTCAGCCAAAGGGAGGTTTTGGATCATGTTCCATGCACAATAAAATTGGCAGATATTCACGGTTAAGGGAAAAACTTTTTTTTCCCAAAAAAACAAGTTAACATTTTTGTAAAAGTTTTAGCAACGTTATTTTGGGTATTACCATTTTTACTATTTTTGGGTTTTCTATATTTTTTCAAATTGTTATAAAAATTAGGTCATTTCACTTTAATTTGATGTTTTACAGAGGAAATATAGTCCTTCCAAAATTCATTGTTGAAACAATTTGCAACAGACCCCCTGATTTTCAGACGCTATGTGATGAGGCATATTTAAAAACTTGTTACGTCTTCATATCCATAAACTGTCGGAACTTGCAAACATATTTTGTTACATTAATCACATTTAAATTCAGTCAAATCAATTTGTTTTAATATTAAGAACATGCCCTATTCCGCTCAAAATAAAACTAAATTCACTTATTTATAATACCACAAATTTAAGAAATTTCGTTTTCGACATATGTGATATCTATGACATGTCTGTCAAAATGTCTGCATTATTTTCTTTTATTCATAAAATTAAAAAGAATTGCAACTTTTTAAAAAGCAAATGTATTATTTCGTAATATTTACCGATAGAGCTCGTATTCAAGCTACATGTGAGGTGAGTTTAATACAAAAGTTGATAACTTTTAAAAACAAAACATATGATTTTATAGGTACCTATATCTACATAAAAAAACAAATGAATAACTTAATATAAGTATGTAAAAATAGAATCTAGTACATTATAATCAGGGTCTTTCTATTTTCAAATTCAATAAATATGGTCTTTTTCATACATTGCGTAAGTTGACCGCAGGCCGTATAGAGCTTGTTTTTAAGCCATTTTTTGCATTAAAATGATTTTCTAATTTTTCACCTTCCAAAATGAATTGTACCCATGTGCATATTTGGCATATAGGCAGCTACCCTACAGCAATATGAGCATAGTATATCTTTAAATGACTCTCTGGTGGGTTCCCCATAAATTTTGAATACTGGAAATGAGATTTTATCTCTAATGTTAAGGTAAACTTAAAACCAGATTGTGAACCTGTACATATCTTTAACATTTAGGTTGACTATTTACAATTTCCTGTTTCTGAATATATCTCCAACATTTAGGTTGACTTTATGCCATTTTTAGCTCGACTATTCGCAGAATAATGGAGCTAATGCAGTCACCCATTTGTCG